AATGCGAAGAGGGGTGTGGATCAATTAAATAATTAAATATAGAGCACCACCTGCTTTTCCCTGCAGTACACGAAGTCAACCGATATAACGAAAGCAGGAAACTTCTACGGACCTATAGCAGCACAACCTGAAATATAAAATTAAACAAGAAGAAAGGACAGAAGTGAAACGCTTTGCTACAATCAGGTACGGGTTTTAAATTTGAATCAGAACAGGTTTGATTCTAGAGTAGATTCGGAGTGGGTTTTCCGAACGCCCTGGAACACTGAAAATTATTAACACTGGAACCAGAACAAAAACAAAATAAATCGATTAGGAGTACCTAACCTTATGTTCTAAAAATAGTATTTACAATAATTCAACTCAACTTGAGTCTTTAAATAAAAAAGTGAAGAGTATTGTATAACAGCAATAATACCTGAAATATAAAATAATAAACAAGCTTACTAAATGCAGTACCTTCGTAAATGGCCATTTAACCCCAGTGTACAAGTATTTTCCTGTATTCAGTGCAGCCTGTATTTATAAAATATTAGAGAAATATAGATCATTCATTAAAGTTGAAGTAACAATACATTACCTGAAGGGCGAATGTAATATTATGGAATCATCTAGGTAGTATATAGAAATACTTAAAATTGAAGTACCTAACAATACATAACCTGAATGGCAAGTTTCATATAATAAAGGTAATATAGATAATTAATTAAAATTGAGATAACACATAATCTGAAGGGTAATTTAATATTGTAGAAGAACTGCGTCGTTGTGGTGATTTACTCCAACAAGGGGTTGGTAAGGTTTGATAGGCTCCAGGTATTAAGACAATACAACACACTTATCAAACCTGAGTAGTCCCTAATCTCTTGAGGATAACCTGAAGGATTGGATTGATATCTTCCAGTGTTTCCGATGGCCTGGGACTGGATCAGGGCCGCAAGAAGAAGCAATTGGCCCTGGGCACTGAAGTTCAGTAATTAGGAGTCACTATAGCTCCGAATTGTCTAGAGGAAGCTGAAGATAGAAGGTACGACTTGAAATATACAGTAAGCTTAACGCTTAACTCTCTACTCAAGTAAAGGACTAAAGCGTGCCGAATAAATAAGGTGACGTCTAAAGGCCTGAAACAAATGGACTTTATGAGACTGGGCGTGGAGCGATAGGTAGGTATGTCCAATATTCGGAATTTAACCATATAATTAACAAAAAACTATGCTTTTACATAGGAAATAGAGACACACAGACAAGACAAATAAGAAAATTACCTTTTAGTTATCTGTCAAAATAGTTCTATAATACCCACCCTTAGTCCACCTTTGTATTGACCACTGTAGATGCAAAATAGTCTTTTTTTTTATATATACATAACTTATTGTTCAACAGAAGTAGTTTATCAAAATAACATGTCAATTTGGTTCCTTTTCACAACGCCTGCTTGGTGATTTTCTCCTTCCTGGATCTCTCCATTTCGAACAACTTCATCCTCTTCTTCAATATTCTCCCAAAGGTCTACTCTTAAAATGCAGAAATTGTGGCGGACACAGCATGCCACAATGATTTTCACAGTTTCGAGAATACTGTTGGTGTTAATGTATTTCATGATCCTCCATTTAGCTTTGGGCCATCCAAACACATCATGCTCAACAATAATGCCAGCCCTGCTCAAGCTTTTATTATAATTCTTTTTTCTCTGTGTGAGGTTACCATAGTCGCTGAAAAAAACTTTCTTATAATTTATAGTTTTAGAATCACTGGTTTTCAAAATTTGGGTCTAAGTACCAAAAAGAACGGAAGATACGACATATAAATGTTGGACACCAGCCCCCAAGGTACATGTATATTCACTAACTTGAAATGGGTCCAGCCATGACAATAGGGGATAGGCTTTATCACCAACGAGATGGTAAAATTCTCCAGGAAAATATTTGAATTTTCAGTTTGAAGTAAATTCCTGCTATAAATGGGAATTCCTAAACATAAATAGCAAAACAGAATTGAAATGAAAGGAAATGAATGCACAAACTTACCCTTATATCATGAACTGATCCTGGCATCCCAACATTGCTATTTATTTCAACTTTATCGATAGTAGCAACAGCTTGTAGTTTAGTACTATAATTTGCATTCCTGCCTATATAGCTATCATGTTGATGTCTGGGTGGTTTAATTTTGATGTTGAAGCCATCAATAGCACCAATAATACCTGTAACGAATATTCCTGATAAGATGAAGAAAATGCAGCAATAACATGGAGAACAAACACTACTCGTAATATTGTCCTTGCATAGACTTAAAAATGGAATCAATAGGTATCTTAGAACATTGGCAAGAACAAACCTCTACTACAATATACTGTTTCAAAAACGTATCTTACCTGGAAAACCTCCGCTTCTTAGTTGAAACTGTTCTGTGATTAGAGGGATTTCTTCTTTTGATGGCCAAACTATATACTGATATTTGAGTGCCACAAGTTTTTCTAATATTTTTTCTGTGGAAAAACTGTGGATTATGCTACTGAGAAGCGTTCTGCAATGCTGATCAAAGTATCCCCCTTTTCCAGCCACCATAGACTCATTAATAATTGTGTATGGGCAGGGGTTGGTTCTTTCAAAATGTTCCTTTTGCTAAAAGCAATTTCATATTATTTTACTTTTTCCGGAGTTAGTTGCATCAAATAGTATATTGTTGTATTAGGAGTAGAAGCTTTAATTTTTTGTGCTGAAGCAGTAGGTTTGCGAGCCGAACGTAGTGAGGCTTGCAATACTGCTGAAGCACAAAAAAGTGCTTCTGCTCCCTGTGCAACACGCTATTTTTTCTCCAAACAAATGGGGTAAGCTCGGGGGTAACTGAATTGTTAAGCGGCAGTAAAAGTACGAGCGGCACTAAAAGTACTTTTGCTGCCGCTGGGGTTGCCAAGCAGCATAGAAATTAAATTTCTACCACCTCGACAGGTGTTAACCTGCTGCATTTGCCTACCAGCATAGAAATTAAATTTCTGACATCTTGACAGAGATTAACAAAGTGGCGTTTTTTTGACGTTTGGAGAAAAATCAAATTTTTCCAAACTGTTTTTTGAAGGTTCTAACAAATTGAATGGGAGTTGGGTTTTGACATTTACCATTTTGCTGGCGTATTTAACCAAAAAAATTCTCCAAGCAATCCTGATTAATTTTCCTTGTTATAATATGACTTATGAAATTATTTGATTTTAAATCGTTCCAGAGGTGTAGAAAGGATGAAATTGCCAACCCCCACTCATAAATAAGTTCAACCCTAATTTCTTTGCCTTTATTTTTGACCACTTCAAGTTAATCAAATAAATGAGACATTTAATTTAAAAATTTAATTTTTGAGCACCCATAAATGGCCTGTTAAAATAATTTGTACCTTGAATCTAGATAAATTAAACAAGTCAAATAGGTTATCCATTCTACTTATAAAATCGACTGTGAACTGTGCTCCAGGCTGTAGGACTCCAAAAGAAATATAGGTCTATAAAGCAGCGGTGATAGTCGCACTGAAAACCTGGGAGGCATATTTTACTTACATTTTTTGTAAGTTTGTGGGATTAATATGTGCATCTGTTAAGTTTGGAGCCAAGCGATAGATTGTAATGTATTATTAGTATGAAAAGTATTTAGATAGAGAAAGATAAACGCTTGAACTTACAAACAGACAGTTACTGGGCAATTAAATTTATTGACATTACTATCCAACGAATTAAACGAAGAAATTGATGTCATGTCACTTTATCAGTGATTTATTCAGATAAAATTTTAATTTACGCTATAAGAATTCCATTAGTTTCAAAAAATGCATTTTCACTCTATAATCTTATACCTTTACCTGTAAAATTAACAAACTCCTCAATCTATTTCTTCATAAACCCAACCTTTCCTTACTTACTACTGAGCCACATGAAGGATTCTCATGGACAAATGAAGGACCTGTCAAACTGTATCAAAGTACCTCCTGCCGACTTCATATGCAGTAGAACAACTACGTACCTTATCAGGGACAGACCCCTCTGCGAAGTCAAGATAAAAACCGAACAATTGACGTCTATACCAGAAGACTGTGACACCAAAGTTACAAAAGGCACCTTCGAAATTTGGCATCCCATTAGTACAAATCAATGGTTATTTGTTATTACAAATCCAACAATTGGCACGATCTATTGTGATTCTGACAGCCGAACCAGCGACGTCAATATAAATGGTGTTGGGATTTTCACATTGAAACCCAAGTGCAAATGCTACACTTTAGCGACCACCTTAATTGCTTCATCCAATCTTTCTACAAATTACACCAGTCCACAACAAACAGTTGACATTACTTTGGATGATTGCTGCCAAATAAAACAAGACTTACTGCAAACAGAAACTATGGAACCAGTTCGTTTAGAAAACATAAATTTGAAGGATCTTAACCATGCAGACTCGAAATTGAACCAGATCAATGATGAGCTCCAGAGACGAATCGATCAACCATTTCTGTACCATACTTCACAATGGTACAACACTTTAACTGGATCGATTGCCCTTACGATCCTCTTTCTGGTTATTTGCTGTTTATGCTGCCGAAAATGCCATTGGTTACCCTTACGATGGATCAGAAATACTTGCTCGAGAGATCCCTGTCGATATCTGTTATGCATTAATAGCCATAATACTATTTCTGACAGCAGATTCTCTACACCCAGGGTAACTTTTCGACGAATTCCAGGACAAAATGAAACTATTTCCATAAACTCACATGACGTAGAACTTAGTGAAATCAACAATGAAGTATATCTCGCCTCTACTAATGAACCAACCTCTGCACACGTCTATGAAGAAATACGAGTACCAGAATCTACGCCAATTAGGATGACGAGGTCAAAAACAAAGACTTTAAAAATTGTATTTTTCGTCGATAACGATAATTCTTTTTAATCATCATGTATCTATTATATTTATTAAGTTATAGTAAGTTATTAGAAATAAGGTGTGGTATAGGTATTATTCAAGTCGTGGCTGTGGCTGAGGCTGAGGCACGGCAGGTGCCAAACACTCCGCGGAGACATTCACAAATGCCCCTATCGCCCGGCTCCAGATAACTGCCCTCATGATGAATAGAGGCGCCGAGTAGCTGCAATGGCCGCAAAACCTCGGCGAGGGGTCGGCGTGGAGCTGCCCGCTCCTCGGAATCCAACCGTGGAACAACTAATTAAAAAAAATAAAAATAAAAGGTAAATAGAAAAAATGATAAATATATTTTTATCCTACCTGAGTCAACTGAAGAACGGAGAGCCCCACGAAGAAAGCCTCCCCCTGGCGCCTACACTTTACACACTCGAAGTAAATTTTACACGGAGTATCCATCCTGACGACTCGAATGTAAATACCAGTGGATCGCTGCCATTTCATTCATATAAAAATTTTATCAATTATAATTTGAATCATTTTTTTTTTTTTTGGGAACAACAAACCCATAAATAATCAATATTTATCACACTCTTTTGAAGTCTTATCCTTACAGTTTCACACTTCATTTGAACCAAATATCATTATTAACTTTATAAATGCCGAAACCTTATCTGTTATTTCACACTTCGCTGACCCAAGAATATTCTTGATCTTATTAACACATTTATCATTTAGTGTTTTCCTGCAGGCATTGAACCTCTAGCAAAACATTTAACGGGGGAGGATTGTTATGTCCCCATATACCTACCTTTTCTAATTTCCTATATTGTCATACCTACCTATATTTAATCACTCTTATATTTTTTCGATCTAAGTTAACCTATTAATTACTGTAATTTGCGTCATTTAACTATTTCGAAAGAAGTCTTATCATAGGCACGTGATATCAATAATCTAGGTCAAATATCTGCTACTTTTCTTTGTTTTATCTTTACGAAATCTTATCAGATCAAAAAGGTGAGCGCGTGATCAGATTTGACGTATTTTCTTCGTTCTGAATGACGCAGGTTGACAATAATATAAATTGCTCGTTTTTGTGTTCAAATTCAACTTAAGATTTTATTGTATATCTATCTTATTTTTAATTAATAAATCTTTAAATTAGTAACAAAGTGATTTTACTTGCGACGAACACATTCTGGTATCCTGGGGTCCCAACAATATTTTTGTGTCTTCACCCATTTTTTTCGCTTTTTCGAAAGCTATGCCATTATCTTTGAGCACTTCCGTGGTTTGGATCCAATTATCATGGATGACCAATGGCGGGATTTGCTTCGCTTTTTCAGTGTAACTAATAACCTCTGTGTCCATGTCCTGTTCAGAATTTTCATTGTCCGAGCATAAACTGCGCTCTCTTCTTGGGGCCTTTCTTAGTTGGCCAATTTTTGGCCATTCACCGTCATCAGAAGGGCGTTTGGATGTTGACGCCTTGGTTTTTCCTTCTTGTTCTGCAAACTCGAGGAACTTTTCGTTCAGCTCTCTCAAATCGCTGTGTAGCTTTTTGATTTCATCATAAGCTTTGTTGATTTCCTCTCTTGCTCCATCGAGCCTTTTTTTCAATTTTCCAATTTTCGCATCTTTGTCCGCTTCGGGGCTTTCTTCATTGTGTCGATTTAGGGGCATGTCCCAGAATCTAAAGTCTTTTTTCGTATTTTCACTTTCACTTTTGGATTAATACTGCGTAGTATTTAACCCAATTTCGCACTTTTCACAATACAATTTTTTAAACTGTGTATCATCCGACGGTGACGACAAAGCTCACTAAACTTTTGTGTGACTCAAAACTTAGGATATGATCATATGTCACGCGAACGATTCATTAGAGAACATGTGACCCCTTTTGCTAATCAACTATATAATCCGGAGCCTCAGCTACCAAAAGCTATTGCTTATATTGACGGAACTAACTTGAAAATTTAAAAGAGTAGAAACTTTCAGGTTCTTAGGAAATCATTTTCGGTACATAAATCATATCATCTCTTGAAGCCGGCTTTAATTGTTTCCTCGGATGGTTACATAAGATGTGCATGGGCCGTACTTTTCGAGAGAGACATATTTGTACTAGATCGTGGTTACAGAGATGCTCAGAAATTCTTACAAGACATTGGAATTCGAGTTGAAATGCCCGCCCATCTTGGCCGAAGATCTCAGCTTACAACAGCTGAAGCAAATCAGTCTCGGCTCATAACAAACTGTAGGTGGATAGTTGAATCCCGAAATGGACACTTGAAATCAATATTCAAAATATTTAGAGACTAAATTCCTAATACCAGTATTCCACACATTCGCGATTACATCAGGATAGCATCTGCTTTAATAAACAAATATCATCCCTCAATTGTTATGGAAGAAGGGACAGAGAATTTGGCTCGTGAAATATTATTGAAGTAGCAACAGCGCAACATATTGCAGGAAATACTGGAAAGAGAAGGATTACTTTGGAGGCATGGAATATGGGAACCTCTCAATGAAGATCAGCTCGATTTTCCAATATTACTTACCCATAGAAGAACTTCAACATCTAACTTTTGGAGTTTTTCAATTGCGTCTTGCCCCATCATATATTCAAGATAATAACCAAGAGGATGGGAATCATTGTTTTGAATACAGATTAAACGATGCTAATAAGAATGAAATCCCAGCACAGGAATTCTCTTAAGTATCAGCTTTTCATCAATAACGACACAAAAAGGAATTTAATATTGGGATATTATTGTTCATGTCGATCTGGTGCCAGAGTAGTTGGAATGTGCTGTCACGTTGCTACTGTAGTATGGTTTCTTAAGTATGATCGCCATCAACCGGTTATTAATTTTCCAAGAGGAGATATGTTTAGGAATGTTAGCGATGGTGGAGCAGCAGATGTAAATAATTTGCCCGACATTGTCCACTAACAGTGTTTGGCCAACCCGAACTTCAACTTACCCACTACTTAATGTATGACTAAGTTGTTTCTAGTTCTAGTTTGGTTATGTTTCAAGACATTTTTGTACATTTCTCGCAAGCCTTTCCATTTTGTGTCGCACTGCTGGCTGGTGATGTTCAAGTGGCAGGTTTCACTTATAATTCTACTGATCTTCACCCACATATTTTTTTTTTTTACCAGTTTCAAACTCATTATGGAAATTTTCAATCAAATTGAGTAGAACTTTTGTGTTCTTCTCAGTCCGCACTCGTAGATTCTTGCGGCAGGTCCAACAACAATAGTAGCCGAAGCTAATGCTTCCTTAGGATCTGAAAATTATAGTTAATTTTTAGTGTGTTAACTATACAGCAAGGTAATAATAACTCAAGTCTCTTTAACTTATCAAAAAAGGCACGGGTCTTCAAATGATTCTCCATTACCTGAGGATCGGTGTGTTGAAGCTGACAAACCTCACACATGTGAACAACATCCTCTAGATCATCCATATTTATAATATTCCCGACTAACTTATTATTTCATAGAAATACGTTTAACAGATAAAACGTGCTTACCACTACCACTGGACTCACCTAACTTGACTGATGTAAATTGTGAGAATAAAACGTCAAATATTTTCATCTGTCTGAACCGTCGGTCGCAAACCTCCGAGCAAATCGAGGAGCATCTAAACTCTCCCGGATGTCGAAAGAGAACGCACCTATGAGTGCTCGAAAATAATAAACGAACAGGTTGGAGTACCTCCGAGGCATCCGACGTATTATTCGAACTCGTCTATTATGTCCAATACCTAGGTCCAACTACTGTTCTTGGAAATATAGACAGTTTGAAATTGGCGTTTTTGCCATTTTGACCTATGTTCAACTTGAATTGTATTTATGTAATAAAAGAAAATATGCTGGATGACTTCTTTACGGAGAAGTGAAAATATTTTGGATGACCCTGTATATGTATGTACCTGCCTTTTTTTTTTAAATACACAAAAAAATAAATAACATAAATCACTTCATGAACAATAAACACAACAAAATACTTCCTGATATAAACTAAACATTATTCATCTTCTGGAGAGAAACGTCTTCTTCTCTTATTTTTCTAATTAGTTGTTCTACTAAGGTTCCAAATAATTTCAGAATTGATTTTGATTTTTTTGCTGTTGATCTAAATATCTTTTTAACATTTTTGTCTGGTTATCTTGTTTTTTTAGCATTACTGCTGTCCTTTTGTCACTTTGTTCTCCTATATCCACAATACCATTTATTCATCTAATTTTTTTTTTTAGATATTCTTTTTTTAATCCCTTCCTCTTCTGTTTCTATGACTCTCTCATTCTCAGCGAAAGATGTCTCAATGTTTGAATTGGTTATTAGTTGGAGTTGCTGATGTTATATTGCTTGGACCAGCAACAGCTGCTAGACTGCTGAAGGTAGTTGTAGGTGTTTTATTGGTTGAAACATTTGGGAGTGTAGATGTTCCATATGTTCTTCATATTTTTAGCCTAGTGTATCATACAACAATTCATAGAGCTTCGGGGGTTCAATATACCCTGCTCTAGTTTTATTTTTATTGGACACCTGTTATGGGTTTTTGGTTTTCTGTCAAACTCAATGAAATTTTGATATGTGGTATATCTTGATTTACTGATAAAAAGTTTTCATGGGCCCAACTCGATCCTATGAATAGTTTCCGAAATACAGGTGGTTTAGTGTCCAAGAAATGTACACATTTTATATGCATTCACATCTACCTGTCACCTATTAATAGGTCTGTCAGAGTGAATTTCATTGGTTGAAACTAGTTTACTGACTGTTTCTGACTGTTTTCGACCAATCAAATTCGCTCTGACGGGTTTGTGATTTTTGCAGAAACAGACCCAATATTAGGTGACAGGTAGATGTGAATACATATAAAATGTGTATATTTCTTGGACATTAAAGTACCTGTATCTCAAAAACTAATCATAGGATTGGTTCGGGCCCATGAGAACTTTTTATCAGGAAGTCAAGGTCTATCACATATCAAAATTTCATTGAGTTCGACAGAAAACCAAAAACCTATAAGAGGTGTGCGGGGTCCTTTGCAAACTTTTGTCTACATCTTTTCATTCAATTGTTTTCATTTCATTTAATGATGGAAATCGTGATGTTGAAACCTTAGAGGGAGAGGTGTTGTTAATGCAAGTGATTTTTTGATCGATGAATATTTTCCATGTGGTGTATTTTCCACCTTATACTGTGCAATAATGCATTGGTGAGTGTATTCTAATGCACTGTATTTATTTGTAATATTTTACAAAGTAATAATGTAATTAATGATCTGACTTATTGACTTATAACTTAAAAAAAAAGTCATGATAATGAAAAGAGAAAAGCTTTTCATACACTGGTAGTTAGTCTCTGTAATACAAAAATTGACAGTCATTAGTTGTTTACTGACAGTTATTTGACAGAGATGTGAACTTACTCCTTCAGTA